GCTGGCCCATGTCTGAGCAGGAGCCTGTGTAGAAGCTAGGCACCAGGTTTGTGTGAGCAACGATACCCAGTGCCCCACTCCAATGGAAGTTGGGTGTTTGTCTTCATAAAAATGAGCAGCTCCGACCTGCTGCAAGCACGTGCACAGCTCCATGTGCCAGTGATCGCTGTGGCACAACAACAGCAGAGATGCTGTTTTGTGCTGTATGGACCATATCTATGATGGGCTGGATGGCATGAGGGCTGTGATAGGAGGTCATTATCTTTCTGAGGCAGAGGACAGCTTCCTAATTGAGTATGAGTAATCACTTCAATAACAAAGATTAGCACCAGGCCCTCTATGTGAGGCAGATACATGTATATTTACAGAATAAGTCTTTGGGAGATTTTGTATTATATGGTATTGACATCATTTATAATGATCCAATTATAATAAGTCTCACCACCGTGGTGTCGTGGAGAAAGGCAGAAGAAAAGGAACATCCAATTTTAAAGTCCATTATGGAAAAACTGACAAAAGCTAAATAATGTCATTGTTTTGGGGTCCTTTCATTATGTGTTCATTATATGCTTCAACTTAAGGGGGGAGGTGAAAGTCCAGGGCTCGGTACTGGGGCCAGTCCTCTTTAATATCTTTATCGCTGATCTGGATGAGGGGATTGAGTGCACCCTCAGTAAGTTCGCAGATGATACCTAGTTAGGTGCATGTGTCGATCTGCTCGAGGGTAGGAAGGCTCTGCAGGAGGATCTGGATAGGCTGCACCGATGGGCTGAGGTCAACTGCATGAAGTTCAACAAGGCCAAGTGCCGGGTCCTGCACCTGGGGCGCAATAACCCCAAGCAGAGCTACAGGCTGGGAGATGAGTGGTTGGAGAGCTGCCAGGCAGAGAAGGACCTGGGAGTGATGGTGGACAGTCAGCTGAATATGAGCCAGCAGTGTGCTCAGGTGGCCAAGAAGGCCAACGGCATCCTGGTTTGTATCAGAAACAGTGTGACCAGCAGGGCTAGGGAGGTGATCGTCCCCCTGTACTCGGCTCTGGTGAGGCCGCACCTCGAGTACTGTGTTCAGTTTTGGGCCCCTCGCTACAAGAAGGACATCGAGGTGCTTGAGCGGGTCCAGAGAAGGGCGATGAAGCTGGTGAGGGGCCTGGAGAACCAGTCCTACGAGGAGTGGCTGAGGGAGCTGGGCTTGTTCAGCCTGGAGAAGAGGAGGCTCAGGGGTGACCTTATTGCTCTCTACAGGTACCTTAAAGGAGGCTGTAGTGAGGTGGGGGTTGGCCTGTTCTCCCACGTGCCTGGTGACAGGACGAGGGGGAATGGGCTAAAGTTGCACCAGGGGAGTTTTAGGTTGGATGTTAGGAAAAACGTCTTTACTAAGAGGGTTGTCAGACATTGGAACAGGCTGCCCAGGGAAGTGGTGGAGTCACCATCCCTGGAAGTCTGTAAAAGACGTTTAGATGTAGAGCTTAGGGATATGGTTTAGTGGAGGACTGTTAGCGTTAGGTCAGAGGTTGGACTCGATGATCTTGAGGTCTCTTCCAACCCAGACAATTCTGTGATTCTGTGATTCTGTACTTACAGCCTCTGAAATATGGCAGGTCTGTCCAGTGCAATGGTGGGGTGCTCCAGATCCTGGAGGCAGCATAATGCCTAGTGTCCCAAATGCTCCTTGGTTCTACAGGGGAGAAGATAATGTGTTTGTGGTGTGGAAAGGAAGTTACAAATTATAAGTTTTTTTTAAGGGCTGTAAGTTTTAGGAATACGTAGACAATTACAATAAAATAATAAATGTTATTTGAGGTGAAATGCAAGAAATATGGTCACTGACTGTAACACAGTATATGTCATAGCTGCTAGAAGTGCACACAACCACAAAGTGATACACAGGTGGTTATTTTTATACAAAAGTCTGAGTTGATAAAAGTCCTTAAGGCCTTCATTTTTTCGTATTTTGTAACAAAAAAAAATATTTCTATTGTACAAGAAAACACAAAGAAGGAAAGAAAATATTAATGGGAGCCAAAACCACTTTGATATATCCGTCTCCTACAAGTTGTGACTGAAGGACCAGTAACTCTGGTGCCTACACAAAAAACTGTGTTTTGATGAACTGGTAAGAACAGTCAGAATTGCCCACCTATGCTGCAATAGTGGCCTTTGCTTGCTTTGGAAAGTTTCTCAAGAGACCTCTTAAATCCTAACACTGCAGGGAGCACAGTGGACAGGGATAGTGCAGACAGGTGACATTTTTTCTTCTCTTATTCCTACCCTCTGATCTTGTGACTCCCACACAGACATCTTTCCATTGTAATTCAGAACTGTACATCTGGTCGGATCCTCCTTGTGGAATGTCCGTGCTATCTCAATGCAAAGATCAATTTAATATCTTATGTCCAGGGTCTGCTTGTACCCTGCTCTGAGTCATTGCAGTGGGGTTCAGTCAACCTCTTCGTGCCTCAGTCTCCTCCAGGGTAAACCAGGCAGGTGACGTGTTTTTGAAGGCTGGTGTAAGGCTGAATTGAGCAGTGTTTGCAAGCTGTTGGCAGGCAGCAGAGGTGGGTCAAGATTTCCTGTGTTTTGACTACCATTTATTGAGTGTTTTGTTTGTTTAAAATTTATCCATTCTGAATTGACGAGACAGGGGAGGAAGGGCTCCTGTTTGGATTTGAAATGAAACACCATATCAGGCCCATTCTTATGCATTTCCCTCTGAATTAATTTCAATTAATTCAACTCATATTCCAAATGAGTAATTTCAACTTAGTGGTTCCGTATGCCTCTTTGTAGATTAAATAATTAGTTCTTTTTTTTTTTTTTTTTTTTTTTTTTTTTCCATTAGTTTGAGATCAGAGAACATTGGTTGCATTTTTACATCCCCAAAGACCATCTTCCAGGATATTCTTCCTGTGTCTTTGACAGGCAGCTGTCCCAGCAGTCTGCAAGGCATTATATTCCATGGAAAAACTCCAGAGAAGGAGGAGAGGAGGGGGTATTATTTCCCCTCCGGATTAAAATTGGAGGTAATTTCTTAGGGATGCAGAGGTGACTTGATGAGAAATGTTAGACTTCCACTCCATTTTGCAAATATAAGTGTGTAAGTTGTCTTTATATATTTTACTCAAGATAGAACACCCTCTTGAGTAAGTTTTGTTGGCAAAACTGTGCATAGACTATACCTACTGAAGTGCTAATTATGGTAAATGCTGAACCAGGCCTGGATTGTGGGTGTTCATTTGCACAGTGAACCTGGCATCGCATTCAGGAAGTCTGACTCAGTATTACTACAATCTTTTCTTTGAATCTAAGTAATCACAAGACATTATTTCCATTTGAGTTGTTATTAGTAGGACTATGGTGGTGGCATTATCTTGGCTCTCTAGAGAAGCAATGCAAGGGGCAATCAGCAGTCAGAAATGCTCAAACATATCACACATTTTTTCCACTGATGTTTCCATGGCAAACACCACACACTTGTTATTTGGATGGTATATTCATTTATTTGGACTCAGGATAGATTTTTGATAGAATTAAAACTCCCATTAATATTTATATCAGTGTTACTGTGAGTAAGCACGCTTATTTTAACTTGAGCTGCAAATCAGTTAGTTCCTTGTAATTACAGTACTGCTGTTAAGTATTCAAAGGCTATACAATAGTGTCACGGGAAACCTATTTTAATTTGGTGGTAAGTCAATGTTTTAATTTCACAAAAAAAAAAAAAAACAAAACTAAACTAATTTACCAAGCATCCTAGCTTGTCTTTTCCCAGCCAGGTTTTGCAAGCCCTCTTCAACTGATTGTATTTAAACACCTTGTTGTGTCTTTGAAAGTTTGGAAGTTATCATGAGAAGTCTTAGGTCCAGTGCAGCTTATAAGTGTGTATCTCATCATGTGTCACTTTGAATGAAAGTGCATGTATGAACATAGGCTGGAAGAGGTTATTTATATCACAGTGCAGCTTCTTGGTCTCACCAGCATTGCAATATACCATATTTTCATCAACTTCATTAAAGGTTTGTCTTGTAGAACAAGTCTCAAGAGTGGTGCATATATTTTTGATTTATGATGCTTGCTTGCATTTATTTCTAGAATTAAGACTATTTTAACTCTGTAAGTCTTTAAAAAATATATATATTTATATGAATCCCCTTGAGGTCATTGGGATTTTCACTTGCAGGAAGACAGGATATGTTGGTCATTGGTATTTTTGTGTGTGCCCTTTCCATGCCAGCACCTGAAGCTAACTGGGTACAGCATAGTATGCTGTGTGTACTGGTATAAGAAAGCCTTTGGGAGCACATTGAGCATCTCCTGTGTGTCCTCTGGCTGAGCTCTGCAGGGTCAGGTCCATGCTCACCGTGCTCGTCCAGCTGTGTTCTGCCTCATACTGAGCTAGGTTCAGGATCAAGACAGGACATGGTGCTGTTCAGCAGCTCAGGAATCTTCTCACATGCTGCAGAGCCTATGGGGAAGGAGTCAACGCAGGGAATGCAAAACCACATTTCCCTCAAGCACCAGCTAGGTAAGACCACTAAAACCTTAACTGTGTTGAGTATGTCACACTTAGATAACCATGGAGTGGATTAAAGATTCATCTGAGCTTCCAGCTGAATACCTGTCTTCCGTTGTAAAAACAGAAATGTTACTTTCAGCAGAGCCAGTGTTCCGGTTGACCCCGAAGCCCTCTGTTAGCCCTAGGTTCTGTGTGGATGGGTGGTGTATGCACAGCCCAGAGGGCTGCCTGTCATGTCAGCTTGGCTTCCTGCCTCCAGGCATGCGCGTCAGAGCTGTGGAATACAAATACATCCAGGCAGACAACAGAAAGTTTTTACGATAGCTCTTTGCAATTGTATGGTTTTATTTTGACATGTGCTTAACCTCTATCAAGAGGAGCCAGGCCAGAGGGGTAAAATGCAGTGTATGGGTGTCTTCACTGGAGTAAGTGTGCACCCATGAAATTCTTCAACTTATAACTGTCCTTTCTAACTCTCTCCGCTGCAGGACAAGGTCTCTTCCATGGACATTGAACGCCCAGCTACCTGTGCCTATTGCCTGTGATGGAAGAACTTGATGTTAATGTGAGGTAGGATGAACTGCATGGCTCCTGTACTGTGTCTCCAGCTGGTGAGCTGCAGGGGCCATGGCCATGCAGTGTGTTCACAAAGCTGTGGGGTGTTCATTTCTATTTGCCTGTAGGTTAAGGTATCTGCTTGTGCAGCAGTGCCTGCTTTGGGGTTTCCTGGAGCTTCTGTGAGCATTGCTTTTTTATTTGTGTAAATGTAAGATATGGCTTAGTTCCTTGCAATAGGACAGATGAGACCCCATCAAAGACCAGTCATAAGCCCATCTGTGTCTCTTGAAAGTGTGTTCCCAGGGTTTTTTTTGTTTGTTTGTTTTGTGTGTGTGTGTGTGTAATTCTGTAAAAATTTGCAACCTGCTCTCTCCCTTCTTATACTGGTGCAAGCAAAAAATGATGTCATATGTCAATTCAAATCCCTGGGCACACTACTGGTATCAACAAGGGACAAATTTTGGTACAGATCACTTTGATCTTGGAAAAGTGATGCCAACATAAAGTGTTCAAGAGGCCTGGATCCTGCTTGCAGCTGTCCTCAGGCTGTGGGGCTGGCACTGGCTCTGCCATAGGTACAACCTGCAGGGTCTTTCTGCAGGACTAGGATTTGTCCCTTTTTGTCTTGGCCTTTTGACTGGCCCAGCAGCCACTGATGTTGAACTACATGGAGAGCTGAAGGAAGCCCCACCAAGCCCGCTTTACACAAGGACGTGAAGCATCTGACCAAACTCAGGCTGCTGGCCCAGACATCAGAGGAAGCAATGTTCTAGTAGCAGCGAGGGGTGTATGTTTCCATAGAGAGATCTCTTAAACTTCTGTAGGGAATATCTTTTTGATGTCTCAGGTTTTTAATTCCAGGAGTAATTCTTCACCTTCCCCTGCCTGAACACTCAGGTGACAAGTGCTTGTAGAAAATGGCACTGATAGAAATGTAAGCACTCCGATCTTCCAGAAAACTATTCCCTAATGAGTTACTGAGGACAGATCAGAAGGAAACAGTAAAGAAGAAGGGGAAACAAACAGTGTCTTGCCCCTCAAGGAGATCCTGTTATCACAGCCTTCTAGCTCCTGGGCTTGAGGTAGGGACATGCCGCTCTTCAAGCAGTGTCCCACTCTCTCCAGTTGCATGCACAGAGGGAGATGATGCATCCTTAAAGATGACTTCTTAATAGGGCTCCTCAGAGCATTATGCTACCAAAGAGAACATCTCTGGTCTTGATTCACCTACTCAAGCATCAGGAAAGTCACCAGTAACTCGGGTTGCTGCTTTAATGCACACTTAGCAGGACACATTTATAAGCTTGTAATCAGTGCCGAGAGGTAATGTGTTTTGCCTAATGAAATTTGTCTTGACTCTCTAATACCAGAAGCATAGTTAAATGTGAAGGCTACTGTAGTTTCTCTGTAAAGGGAATAAAGGTGCTGACACCAGACAATTTTCCCTGCAATCTTTTCCTTCCACTAAAGACTGTATGATAAAAATTATATTTCTGACAATGAAAAAAAATATCCCCCAATATACACTTAATCATTCATGGAAGTAAAATCTTCTATTTCTTCTTTCTTAGAAGGGGCACAGTGAAACAGGCTCAGCCAGTGCGTGGGCACATGCTGGCTACATCAGAAGGGAAGTGACCTTATCTTATCCCTCTATCATATTCTTTTCAGTAATGTGCTATTTGCCGCTGGTGGAAGCAGACGCTGGGTAGGTCTGACCCAGCATACACATTGAAGCTATCTGCTAGAGTTTTGTAGTTCACTTTTTATAGGAATCAATAGATCATTATCCTTCTCATCCAATTTTTAAATTTTACTTTGTCCTATCAGCACTACTCCTGGCCCAGGCCAGGGTGTGAGGGAAGGACTGCAAGGCTGTGGACACTCTCCTGGCCCTGCCCATGGACAGGATGTGATGGTGTCTGTGTGTCCATTCACCCCTCAATCATGCTGTGGCTGCATGAGCCCCCTGGCTCTTGGACCTGTACCAACACAGCAACCACCTGCAGTGGTCTTCTGTGAAGCTCTAAATAAAATCCCACTCCCAGACAAGATCGTTAAAAGTAACATGAAGTCATAAACATTACAAATTTGAAAATTTAAGCTGATGTTTTCCAATACTTTGCAGCATTCATGCCTCTTTGCAGGTGAATTAGTCCTTTGGTCTGTGCTGGGGCAAGCTGCAGCTTGTGTGGAGTGTGCTCCTTCAATAACAACAACAATAAATGAAGCTGGTTCCTATCAAAATTAGGCTTTCTGAGCATCTTTCCTCTTCCTGGCTGCAATAGTTCCAAATGTGCAGAATAGCCTGCATGCCATGGAAGTGCCTGGGAGGACAGGGGGTTCGGCCCTTCCCCTCTCTGCTGGGGGCTCCACTTTGGTCAGATTGCTGCCAAAAATGCCCTTTGCACAGGCCCAGGAAAAGGTTTTTGAGAATCAGTCCATCTAAAAGATGCTTTCTACTTAGAAAGTGCTGGTGCACCCAGCTGATTTGGTCTTACCCTGGCAGAGCAGTGGAAACATCAGAGCAGGAAATTCTCATTGGTAAAATATTTCATCTGACATTGTGTTTAGATGTTAAAAGGCAGCATAAGACATTTCTGGGGATCTGATGAATGAAAATCCATAGGAATTCAAAAGCTCTTTTGAATAAATACTGATTCACCATTCCCTAGCTCTTTTGATGAAACACTGGTCAGACCTCACTTTCGTTATATTTCAGGAATGTTTTTATTCCTTTGTTCCAGGTGGCTGTGATTGAGCTATACAGGTACAGTCTTTCATTTTGGTTGCACACACAGGCTTCTTCTATGAGTATGATTTTATTGACTCCACACTTTTCCAGACTATGAATTTTTAGCTTTGAGCACTTTGCCTGTTGGCTACCAGTAAGTAGCTGATGTTTCTCTCCTTTATCTGCCCTGATTTGGGCTTTTTTTTTTTTTTTTTGCTGAGATGTGAAATTCTCAATGTTTTCTTTTGAAGTCAGGGGTTTCCATGCATTGTTTTCCAGTGCTGCACAAAGCTGCATGGTGAGCCCCAGGGGTGGGAGTGCTCAGTTCCCGCTCGCTCACTCTGTGGGGCTCAGAGATGCTCCCATGGAAAGTCCTCAGGCAAAGGGAAGCAAAGCTCGGGGAAACAGGAGGTGCTTTGACAATGTGGAGTCAACAGTGGGATTGATGGAGAGATGGACGGGCTGTATTTGTTTGGAGCTGAGCCCTGCAGAAACGCATGCTGCTCTTCAGTTCAGAGCAATGTGCCTGCAGCTGTCCTGCTCTGGCCAGCTGGGCTGGCCATGGTGCAGGGCTCGTCCTCCTGCCCTCAGGTGGTTTTGGTGAGGTCCCCAGAGGACTCCAGGCCTCCCAGTGAGGAAGGACTTTACTGTCTGAAGCATTGCAGGCAGATTCAACTTTGCAAGTCTTTCGTTTACATGGAAAAAATTGGTTATGTACTATACAAAGGCTGCAGTGTGAGGTTAGAGACACATTCCTGGAAATTACAGACAGCCTGCTTTGGGACTTGTATTTATCACAGCTGAGGGGGGTGGCAGACCTCATTTTCTTTAATACTAGAGCTGAAAAATAAATGCCCTTGCAAGTATTTCCTATTTATATTTTATAGGATTTTTCAATTTCTTGTAACTTGGTGATTGTTATTGCACACATTTATTATATGCACTGGGTTAATGAGATGCTGTCAAGTGGTTAAAATGAAAACCCAAACCCTTGAATGGGCTATAGTATGAGAAAAAAAAAAAAAAAAAAAAAAGCTTTTCTCTTTATTCCCTTCTTTTCAAGCAAATATATAAAAATATTTGTCAGACATGTTTATCAACAAGTGTACAACAGTCCTTTGCCCTGTCCAGCTCCAGCCAGCAGGCACCCAAGGCACACCATAGGCTGTTTGCTGCCAAGGAGCAGGAGCCCCCACAAATGCCTTCACCGCTACCCTCAATGGCAAAAGCCTCTTCTACCATCTGGAGGTTATGACACCACTTTGCATTTTCTTTGCCAGACCTGATGCAAGGGGCTGCTTGGAAATGCTCCACTGACATCCTGAAAACTGTTGGCTTAAGTTTTTAAAAAGAGCTTTTGGCACAGGCAGGCCCCAGAGTAGTTTATAGGAGTGCAGCAGATAGGGAAGTTACAGCTGATGACCAGGAGTAATCTGAACACTTTTCAAAGGACACGAACTGATTTTCACCTCTTGGCTATTTCCACTGGACAAGCACTCTATTTCTGCTAGGATTTTAATCCATGAGGCTGTGCTCGGGACTTGTAGAGCTGGGCTGTCTTCCAGTTCTTCTGCCAAACTTTGTGACCTTGGGCAAATCTTCCAGCCTGCCTGAGCACCCCCACTGTGCCCAGTGGAGTCCCATATGGGCTCCAGCACCACAGCCCTGTGGCTTCCCAGCAGGGGAGGCACAGAGGAAGGGCTGGGGGGCATTCACTGCCCAGCTGTGGATCTGCCGGTTCTTCTCACCCTCTTGGGCAACCAGGGAAAGTCCCTGCTGTTGGGTACGTGTGAGCATGGTCAGAGCTGTTCTGTCTACTGCATGCTGAGTAATAGTGAAGTACACCTCAGGTGTCAGGCAAGGGCTGCTATGCTCCTGAGAAATAAGCTTTTGGAAAAAAAAAATGCTAGAAAGTTCAGTGCAAACAAATAGTTTTTATATAAGCCTTTTTATTGTAGCTGTTGGTGAAGGTAGACTTCCTTTCCTAAATTAACTATGGAGAAACAATGTATTATTTCAGTTTGTCACAACAGTAATTGCTTTTTATTTTGAAGCTGAGCCCCCAAAACAACTGAATTTTAGATTGATGTTTATTGCTTCTGAACTTGGCTTTATCAGTTTTAGTTCTCTGTTTGCTGAAGGTATTTTTGTGGCTTGAAATACTCTGAAAAGTGCAGAGCCCTCCAGCAGAACTGTGTGAGGTTCATTAATCTTGTCTTGACTTTGAGAAATGAGAAGCAAGGTGAGAGAAGAAGGAATCAAATTGGTTGAATTAGTT